GTAACGGCTGCGGGGCGGCCTGGGAGCGCCCTCTGGGGCCCAGCAGGGGTCCCAATGGAGAGGCCCACTCAGCCTTGCGGTCCTGAGAGGGAGAGGTCAGCAGAGACGTGTGTCCAGGCTGGAGGTCATCACAGAAGTCTCAGGGCTCGTCGAGATGGTTCACATGGGAAGCTTGTCTGCAGGAGAAAGATCTGCCACCCACCCTGGGCCTGGAGACCGGGCAGTTGGGCAGGACGGCCGGAGGGCCCAGGAGTCAGGAGAACCTCATGTCGAAGAAGAGCCACTGCCGCAGGTGCGCCCCTGAAGGTGAGGTGAGTGCAGGCCCTGCGTGGGCAATGAGACAGGGCAAGCTAGGGTTATTAGGCAGTTTTAGGGACAGTGCAGGAGGGACCTCTGAAGAATTTAGGGAGGCTTCAGAGATAAGGACAACCAAAGAAATATAACCCATTCCATTAGGAAAAACAAACATGCCAGGACCAAGGACAACATTGTTAACGCTGGTCCCGGGTTCCTTCAGGTGGTAAAGGGAGGCGGAGATTGGAGAAATGGAGAGTGGTTTCATTTATGGTCCCATTAGAAGGGCAGCTGTTTAGCTTCAATGCAGGGATGCCCATCCGGAGGACTGGGCCATAAATTTAAAGATGCAACAAATGGGGAAAGAGAAAGCTGTTAGATAAGGAACGTGAAGATCCCCACTCAGTAGCAAATGAAGTGAGACAGCCGAGAACTGACCCATCACAGAGAGACGGGTGGAGCTGTAGAATAATGAGGGAAAAAAGGTCTATATTCCCTGAAACACGACTCCACTTTGGCTTCCTTGCCCCTCCCAGGCCTGGTTCCCTGGCCTGGGAGTCCCACTTTATTTCTGCCCTTTTTCTCCTCAATAAACTTTTTCTTCTAAACAAACCTGCCTCTGCTCGCTTGCTGGCCTGAGCGTCTGCGAAGTTCCTGCTGCGGCTTCGTGAGACACCCGCCCATGGGGGTCTAGCGGCTGGGGCTCAGCGCTGCCCCTGCAGCCTGAGATCCGTTCCTGGCTGGGAGACTAGGCCTGACAATTCCGGTATCAGCATGACACCGTGACCTCTGTGGTGACTTCAGCCTCAGCTTCCATGGGTCCCCAAGGGGCTGGGCTGAGGGCTGGGAGTTTGGGGAAGGTGCCCCCTGCTGTGCTCTGGGGGAGTCAGGCAGGCTCCATGCCACATTTGGGATGGCCTGGCCTTCAGGGAGGGCGGGTGCCCAGGGGCCAGCACCTGCCCAGGGCTACACCCAGAGTCTCCCCAGTGCCCACCACCCAGCCGGCGACCCCGCAGCTGGGCTTGTACCTGCTGACCAGGCGCTGAAGTGTGCCCACATTCCTGCTGGCGAGGCCAGCCAGGACCTGACAGGCAGGTCAGGCGCTGCATCTTCACAGCCCACGCGTCGTTCCCACGCCCACCGTGGCATCTCGCCTGCCAGACCCCACGGCCAAGTCAGGGTAACGTTTGTCTTCCTTGCATGAATGGGGAGGCTGCGCCAGAGCAGGGGAGACTCAGCTCCGCCCGCGAGGGACACGCATTGCGGCGCTCCCCAGGCCCCCCCGGGCGCAGACAGAAAGGAGAGGCTGGCACTTGGAGACAGAAGCACCCAGCGAGGGTGCCCTGGCGGCCGCTGCAAAGCAGCATACTCCCCGACTTCTAACTCCCTCCGACTGGCCCCCAAGATCTCCCCGGGGCACCGCAGATGCCGCCCACATCTGAGAGGAGTGGGGAGATCTTCAGTTGGCGCCCTTGCTGGACCCAAGTGACCACACCCCCGCCGCGTGGCCTTGGCGCCCGTCCCACCGCGGCCTCATTCTCAGCTCTCCTGTCCTGTCTCGGTGACGCGAGCCCGGCTTTCCTGGAGGGCAGCTGCTGCCAGTCACCAGAGGGCGAGGGTCCTATCATCCTGGTGACAGAGACTCCTGCCAGGTTACCCACGCCTGTTTCTAGAAACTTCTTAAGGGATAGATTCAGCAGTGGGAATTTCAGGAAGGGTGGGGAGGCGGGGCAAACGTCAGTCATCCGGGCCTGGCCCACACAGCGGTCAGCCGCCTCTCTGGAGGGAAGCCACGCTGAGGTCATCTCCCCACCCGGGACGGCTGGGCATCTGAATAAAGCCGTGACTCACCGGACTTCTTTGTCCAGTAGGGACAGTGAGTAATGAAGGGGCTAGAACTCTTCAAAAAACGGCTGCCTGGCTGCCACATCAAAGGCCAAGGAGTCAGGAGACACCCCAAGGTCGTCCCGCTGGGCTGGGTCCCTGGGAGCAGCAGTGCCGGCTGCCTCTAGTCGGGCCTGCCTGGGACAGGGCTGTCACCCTGGCCCCCAGCGCTCCGCCCTACACGGCTGCTCCTCAGGGGACATGGTCCTTCTGTTCTTTTATTTTAAGGGCATGCGTGCTAATCACTTTTCTTTTTTTTTAAGAAGTGGGGTCCAGGCCAGAGTCATGGGGGGTGAGAAGATTCACCAGAGTGGGGAGCAGAACAGGCGGATCCACTGAAATCCACTGCTGAGGGGAGCAGCGGGGAGACAGGAGAGTCTGCTGCGCCCTGTGGGTAGCTCCCTGGCAGGTCGGGGATCAAACTCGCGCCGCAAAGGCTGAGGACAGCCTCACAGCTCTGCGCTCAGCCCCCTGCGTCACCAGGGAGGCCCCTCATCACTTTTCTGACAAGACAAGAGTAAGGCTTGGGACAGTCAGTAAGACTCCAGAATCCCCCGCTTCCGGGTGACGCAGCCCTGGCCCGGGCCCTGAGTCTCCCCTTCTGCAGAGGAGCTGGCAGCCAGTGGGGGCCTCAGAGGCAGCCGAGGCCACTGTTTGAGCCCAGGCAGCATCTAGGTGCCATGGATCCAGTCATGCCTGGAGGGGGAGGGAGGGGGACGGAGACAGGGATGCGGGCAGGGGAGGGAGAGAAATACGGAGGAGTGGAGCGGAGGAGTGGAGCAAGGAGGTGGAGAGAAAAACGGAGAGAGGAGACAGAGGGAGACAGCAGGGAGGGGTGACCTCACGCAGCAGCAGCACCCCCCCCCCCCAGCAGGGTGACCTCCAGAGGGGCCGGAGCTGCCTGGGGCTGTCTGGAGCAGACACAATGGTCAGCTCACAGGCTGGGGAGGACAGAAGAGGCTTCTGGAGCTTCTAATTGTCAAGAGGCCTACAAAGGCGGGGAGGCAGTCCCGGGACACACCTCTCCACAATCAAGATATTGCGAAAAATTTCTTCTTTCACCATTAAAAATGAGTCTCACTTGCTCATCAGGCTTTCACGAGAGTGCGTTTGGAGGTGATGGAAACGGAACGCCGGGCCTCCTCCCGGGCCTGCCAGGGGAGGGCGGGCTTTGTCAGGAGGACGAGGCCTGGAAGGGAGAGGAGGCGCCATCGGGGATGTAAGGTTTCCAGGGAGGGGAGGAAGAGGAGCCCCAGCCGGGGTGCCCAAGAGCCACCCGGGGGCGGGCAGGAAAGTCCTTTGTGTGCGGGTGCTCTCACCAGGGACTGGTCCCTGCTCCCGGGCTTCTGAGCTGCAGGTGGTGCTGCTTGGTGTCCTTGCTTGTGAAGGGTACCCCCCTGCCCCCCACCATGGCCTCCCGTGCCCCCCACCCTCCCAGACCCTCCTATCAGCACAACCGCCCCAGACCCTCCTATCAGCACAACCGCCCCACGGGCAGGAGCCCCGGCCCGCCCGGGGCAGTCACATCTGCAGGGGACCCACTCTGAGGCCTGGGGGTCAGGACTTCAACCTGTGGACACTGGGGGCAGAGTTCAGCCCACAGGGCAGGGTGTTTTGGGGAGGGGTGTGGAGCCCTCCCACAGGGGTAACTTCAGGGCCCGCAACAGCCCTTGAGGGCGGGAAGTCGGTGCCCCTTTCCTGGGAAGCGGGTCACGAGCCTTAGAGAGATAAGAAAAGAGCTTAAAGCTGCCGGGGGTCGCCGGCCTCGGTGGTGGCGCAGTGTGGCCCCCGGGGAGGCCTGACCTTGCACCCCGGCCCCAGTCAGGGCCACCTCAATTGCAAATACATCTACCTGTAGGAACAAACCCTTTTCTGGAATGTATTTTTAATACGTTTACATATAAAATAATTAAAATCACACGGCGGACGGGCAGCAAACTGCCGGGTGCTGCGCGGGGGTCCACGCGCGGGTCTGCTCTCCCGGCTGACCGCGCCGCCCGACCGGCTGCCCCGCGCCTCTCGCCTCGGGAACAGCTCCCGGTCCTGGGGCAAGACAGACGCCGCGCCCCGCCCGCGCCTCCCGTCCCGCCGCCCGCCCCCGAGCCCCGCGGCGCCCTCCCTCCCCCGCCAGGGCCGCGCGGCCCCCGGGGCGGCGCCGCGGGCTCCCCGGTCCCGCGGGTTCCGGCGAGTTTCGGCCACGAGGCCGCCGCGGCCCTGCCCCCGCCCCCGCCCCTGCCGCCTTCGGCCCCGGGAGAGCCGCGCGCCGGGAGAGCGCGGGACGCGCGGGACACGACGGCCGGGACACGCCCCGCGCCCCGGGGTGCCGGCGCCGGCGACGGGGCGGACGGCCACCTGCGGCCCGAGACAGAAACATCGCCTCCCAACACCGTCCCCGCGGCGCGGCGCCTCCGGGCCCCGGGGCCGAGCCCGGAGCATCCCGGCCCGCCCGCCGCCCGCCGCCGGAGCCGGAGCCGGACTCGGCGCACCTGGAGCCCCACCTGAGCCCCCCCCGCCCACCGCGCAGGCCCCGCCCCCGGCCCCGCCCGACCAATCCGGCCCCGGCCCCGAGGCCCCGCCCCCGGCCCGCCGCGCAGGCCCCGCCCCCAGCCCCGCCCGGCCAATCCGGCCCCGGTCCCGCGGCCCCGCCCCCGGCCCCGCCCCGCCGGCCCCGCCCCGGCCCCGCCCCCGCGCGCCTCGCTCGGCGGCCGGCGGGACGCGGTGGCGGCGCGGCGCTCGCTCCTTTGTGCTCGGGCGGCGGCGGCCTGGCGGGTCTTCCCGGCGCGTCCTCCCGGCTCGCCTGCGCGCGCTCCCGGGGACTGGCCATGTCGGCGGCGGGAGCGGGCGCGAGCGTGGAGGCGGGCTTCTCCAGCGAGGAGCTGCTGTCGCTGCGCTTCCCGCTGCACCGCGCCTGCCGCGACGGGGACCTGGCGGCGCTGTGCTCGCTGCTGCAGCAGGCGCCGCGCGCGCACCTGGCCGCCGAGGACTCCTTCTACGGCTGGACGCCCGTGCACTGGGCCGCGCACTTCGGCAAGGTGGGCGCGGGCGCTTTAAGGCGCCATTTTCCGCGGCCGGGGGGGCAGGTCGGGCGGCGGGGGCGCGGGGCGTGCCGGGAGCGCGGGGCGGAAGCGGGGTCGCCGGCGCCCCGAGGGTCCGCGGCGCATGCGCGGCGGCGGGGGGCGCGGGGCGTGCCGGGAGCGCGGGCGGAAGCGGGGCGGGCGGCGGCGCCGCCACTTTCAAACGGGGGCGGCGGCCCTGAGGGAGCCGCGCGCTCGCGCCCGCCCGCGGGGAGGAGGCGCCGGCGGCGGCCCTGAGGGAGCCGCGAGCGGGGCGGGCGGACCGGAGCGCGGACACCGGCCCGAGTCCCGCGGCGCCGCCCCGGGCGCCGCGTCTGGCCCGCGCTGCCCGGCTGGCGAGCTGGGGCGCCCCGGCCTCGCGCCCGCCCCCCGCTGCCCCCCGCGGGTCCGGGGCCGGGCTCCTGCGGGGCTCCTGCGGGGGCGCGGCCCCCCTCCCCGCGCGCCCCTCAGGCGAGCCGGCCGGCGGGGCTCCCCGGCGCCCGGGTCCTTCCCGGGCCGGGACCTGCGCCCCTTCCCGGAGCGTCGGGCGCGAGCGCGCGGGGGCCCCGGCCGGCCCGGGCCCGCGTCCTGCGTCCGGCCGGGGTCGCGCCCACGGCCTCCCCCGCGGGAGCGGGCGCGCGGGACCTGCCGCGCCGGGGGCGGGGGCGGGGGCGCTGGCCCGCGGGGGGGGGGGTGCGGGGCGTTGCTGGACTGGGCGGCGGGACCGGACCCCTGGGCTGGAAGCCCGGCCCGCGCCCCCGGCCACCGCTCCCCGTGCCGGTGGGGCCCCTCCCGGCCCGCGGCGCCTCCCCGCCGTCCTCGAGATGGAGGCCCGCCCTGGCTCGAGGTGTTTGGGCGCGTCTCCAGCTCTCCCACGTGCACTTTCTGTTGCGGGAACGCAGCGTGAGCGTGTGCTGCGGCTCGGGACGCCTGGGCCTGGGCCGTGCCGGGACGGCGGCGGCGCCCCGGGAGCTGCGCGCTTTGCAGAAGGCCGTGAAGGGGCGCGGGATGGACGCGGCCCCTGCAGGCTCGCTGGTAGCGCTAAGACCCCAGCGGGTCCTGTCAAAACTTTCACCCTATGTAGCCATTGAAATTTCTTTTTTTATCTTATTTATATGTGGTTTCTTTTTAAGATTAATATATTTACACAAGCACTGGGCACAGTCAGCAGCGCGGGAGGGTGAGAGAATCCACCAGAGCCAGAGCGGGGAGCAGAGCAGGCAGAAGGACCGAAGGACACTGCTGAGGGGAGCAGCGGGCGGCAGGAGGGGTCTGCGCGCCTTGTGGGACCCTCCTCTGGTGGCCGGGGAGCAGCCGGGGATCGAACCGGTGCCGCGGAGGCTGCGGGCAGCTTCACAGCCCAGCGCTCAACCACTGTGCCACCAGGGCAGGCCTTTTTTTCATACAAAGTTATTGAAATTTCTTATGGTGAGAACTTTTAAGATCTGTTTGGTCACTTTCCAGTTGACGATGAAATCGGTGCGGCAGGGCGGGAATGACTTTTCCCTCCCACAGAAAACTCGTGGTGGCTGTACAGCGCCACTGCCCTGTCTCCACTGCGGAACGTCCATTACTGAGTGATGTTTACTCCTCTGCTGACCTTCTGCGTGTTTTGTCCCCTGCTGCTGTTTTCAAAGCTGGAGTGCCTGGTCCAGCTGGTGCGAGCCGGAGCCACTCTGGACCTGTCCACCACGCGCTACGCCCAGACCCCAGCCCACATCGCTGCTTTCGGGGGCCACCCCCAGTGTCTCCTCTGGCTGATTCAGGCAGGAGCCAGCATTGACAAACCGGTAAGGGGCCTTCTCTTTTCCCAGTTACACATTCATCGCGCGCCGTTGAAACAGGTGCGGGTGGAGTTTGGTGTCCTTACCTGTGGCTAAGTGGACTTGGGCGTCCCGGGACTGACAGGTTTGCAGAGCGCCCCGCCTGCACTGCGCATGCGTCCCCGTGGCCCCAGGTGACTTGCCCGGGGTTGCAGCTGAGAGGGAGGCGTCCAGCCCGGATCCCCTGCTCAGCTGCCTTAGTTAGCTTCTGTCCACGGAAAACAGGCCCGTGCCCCAGAGGAATGGCCCTTACGTCTTCCCAGGCCGCACTCTGCGGGGATTTACGCCGGCCCTCCGCCGGCCCTCGGTTTATGCGCTTTCTCGGGTGCCAGTGGGGCGGCCGCGCTCGGCTCTCACGGGATTTTGCGTGGAAGGGGTTGGCGCCCGGCATAGGGATTTTCACTTTGCTGTGATGCGCAAGTGACTCACGCAGTAGGAAACGGACCTCCATTTTGAATTTGGGTCTTTTCCCTGCTGGTACGCGCGGCAGCGTCTCCCTGCTCTGGTCGCGCTGGGCGGCGGAGACGGCGGCGTGGGGACGGCTGTGCTCTGCGCCGAGGACCCTCAGCACGCTTTTGGTCAGCCGGCGAGGTCGCCCGCACCGGGGCAGAAGACAGGCATTGTGCCGGGCGGTCTGGCCCAGCTGCAGGCTGAGGGGGGGTTCTGGCACTCTCGCCCTGGTGGCGCAGGCTTTTTTTGCTGAGTGAAGGAACACTTACTCCTCCTTTCTGTCCGGCCTAAGCATCTGTCCTTGACGATGACTCTCTCGGAGATAACGCATCCCCCAGCTGACAGCCTGACGAGCCGCGAGCGCGGCCGGTATCTCTAGAGTGGCTAAAACAAGGGTCTGGGGGAGAGCGCGGGGTGCAGGGTAGCCTGGAGGCTACACGCAGGCCTGTGTGACTGGCGCTCCTCCGGTGCCCTCCAGCCAGCCTCTCGGCTGCTCTGCACCCAACTGCGTCGTCTGCTGCTGCCTTAGGCCTGGTCGAGCCTCCGTGTGGCCTGCGGCTCAGTCTGCCTAGCAGTAAATTACGACTCATCCTCAAATGACTATAGTTACTATTATTATGGGTTTAATTATAGGAAATTTTGTGTGTGACGCGTGTCATGCAAGTGATTGACTCCGTGTACGGCGGCGCGTGTCACTGCTGCTTGTGTGCATTGCTGCATCGCCTCCAGCGGAGGGGTCGCAAGTCATCTAGCGTTGATTTTCAGACCCTTCAAAATGGAGAAACCCCTTCTGAATGGTTTTACAGCAGCTCAGGGGGACGGACAGTCCTCACAGCCTGCCCTCCTCAGCGGGCCCCGGGCCTGTGGCGCAGTGCCACCTGGCTCGGTGCCCGCGTCTTCCCCGCTGCCAGGGTGACCTTGGGATCCCCGGAGGTCGTGGCCCCTCGTGCCGAGCCGAGCTCTAACTAGCAGCCGATGTTTGGCTGTTTGGTCTCCAGGGGACAGCATGGGCACCCAGTGACCCTGCGGTCACGTCGCCCTGTCGGCTCCCAGCAGCAGCTGGTGGTGCAACCGCTCCCCCATCGGCCCTAGAAAACCCACCAAGGGCTGTGGTGCGCATGATTTTTTTTGATCCCATTTTCCTGTCTTTCGGTGTGTTAACTCCTGACTGTTGCAGTGGTTTTCCTCAGGCCCAGAGGGCCTTTCGCATCCGCACTGCCCGAGGGGCTTGAAGCTCAGCTGGGCTGTGGTGACCGGCAGGAGAGGCCAGCTTGCCCGCCCCTGCCCCGCCCTGCTGGCTCGCACTGTGGCTCTGCTTCCTTGGCACCGGACGGCAAGTGAGATTTCTCTGTATTCAAGTTCAAGGTGACTGTGGACTCCTGGCACCTTCCCCACTTTCTCAATGGCCGGCGGTGGTGGAGCCCGCCCGCCGCTGCCCACGCTGGCTGGCTCGAGAGGTGCCCTGGCCATGGCTCCAGGTTTCTGCTGTGGTTTCTTCGGGGTGCAGACGTGGCTGCCCGGCCCAGGGGTCTCTGTTCCCCGGACGGCAGCGGCCGGGGGCTTCTCCCCCAAGTCTGTTACTGTCCACCAGGCTCTTGACGCGCGCAAGCCCCGGCGTGCCCCCTGGTCGCACAGGGCGCCACGGGCACTTGTTCTCGTGACTCTCGCGCCCTGCGGCCTCCTGACTCAGCCCTGCTCTTCCTGGCGCACGCGCGTCCGTCCGCCATCGGGGCCTCGCCGCCCCGCTTTGGGAATAGGAGCCCCCGTGTACACGTGGGTCTGCTTTTCTTCCAGAGCGGGGTGATTCCGTTCAGGGCCCAGTCACTCTCGAGCTCGCGTTACAGTAAGTGTCCGCGCGGCCTCCTCCCAGTTCTTTCGCTGTTTTTTGTAAACGAACCTCTGTTGCTGCCCCTCGGCGAAGCCGCGCCATGCCAGCTGACTTGGGGGACAGGCGCCCGGCCTGCCCGGGAAGCGTGCCGGCCTCAGAGCCTTTGCCGCTCAGCCTTTGGGGTTCCCAGACAACAACATCTGAAATCAGTTTTTCTACAAAAAACGGTCCCTCTTGATCTTGTACCTGCCTCTGCCTCTCCTTTACCCGAGGGTGTGAGTGACGCGGCGTCTTGGGCTCCATGCGGAAGCGGGGCTGGTCGGTCCGGGGCGCGGGCCCTGAGGTGGCGTCTCTGCCTCTTCAGCATCGTTTTCTGCGTGACAGAGATCTGCGCAGCCGCGGCCTTAACACAACCCTGGAACTGAGTTTGCCGTGCCGTCGCAGGCGGCTGCTGGGGTCTGGTGCACGCTCAGCGGCTCTGAGCAGTGGTCCCGGCTGCTGCCCTGGCGAGCGGGCTGGTTCTGGGCCTTGACGGGACCCCACGGGCTGGTGCACAACATGCTTGCACTGAGATGCACGAAATGACTCCAGAACCATCCAGAGAGTGCGTGTGCGTCCCTCAGGGAAGCCCCTGCTTTTGTTTTGTTTGTTTTTTCAAGACTTATTTATTTATGCATACAAGAGCTGGGGTGTAGGCCAGAGGTGGGGGTGGTAAGAGGGTTCCCCAGAGACAGAGTGGGGAGCAGAACGGGCGGATCCACTGAAATCCACTGCTGAGGGGAGCAGCGGGGAGACAGGAGGGGTCTGCTGCGCGATGTGGGTCAGCTCCCTGGCCGGGGATCAAACTCAGCCTGCAGTGGCTGCCAGTAGCTTCATAGTGCTGAGACTTAACCCCTGCACCCCCAGGGAGGCCCGAAACCTCCAATTTTTTGAGCTAAGACTTTCAGAGAACCTGCCCCTTCCCAGGCCTGCTTTTCATTTTCTCTTCCGTCTGCATTTTGTTCTGCTTCGGATTGCACCTCCCGCGCTTCATTTCAGAGAGGGGTGGGGCGCCCCGTCCCAGGCCCGGTCGCAGCTGAACTTTGTCTCTGCTTGTGGTTTCAGGACTGTGAGGGCGAGACCCCCATCCACAAGGCGGCTCGCTCCGGGAGCCTCGACTGCATCAGCGCCCTGGTGGCCAGCGGGGCTCGAGTCGAGTAAGTGTCCTCCTTCGTTCCCCCCGCCGGGCGTGATCGCGGGCTGTGCTTAGGGCCGGCTCTAGAGGAGGCGAGAGTCCTGGAACTGCCCTTTGGGCCGGTGGCTGGCGGGCACAGTGTGTGGGGTGAGGGGAGCGCCAGAGGGGCTTCATGCCCGCAGCGCCGGGCCCCCCCAAGAAGGGCCACGCGCTCTGTAAGTCGGGGGCTCCGTACTCGGGAGCCTGGTCTGTGGCTCTGCCACTCCCGACCCGTGCCACCGCGCGCACGTCTGCAGACTTCTTTGCCACGTTTTAATTTCTAGAGGAGGGCCTTGGATCGGATTTAACTATCCTTGCAGGCTTCTCTGGCTCATTTTATTGCAGACGATTCTTTTTTGAGTTTTGACTTCCTCGTCTGCCAGCAGGCGCCGAGGACGTGGCTCTAGAGCTGCCTGGGCGCCCGCGGTGTCCCGCTCCCTCCGGGCGTCTGGCGCGCGTCTGGCCGCGGTGCTGAGCTTGGGTGCTGCTGGCGTTATTTTTCGATGTTTTTGTTTTAGTCTAGCGTACATTTCCTAGTCTGCTCACGATTTGACGGAGCCCCGTTAGCATTAAATTAACTTTGAAGTGTGCTCTGGTAGGCACCTCGGTAGTTAGCAGTGGCGTTAGACGTTTACTGTAGGTGTGAGATGCCCTGTGTCACGTCCTCTGAAGATTCACGCTATAACTTTCTCTCTGCAGTTCGCAGGCCGCAGCGGAGCGCCCGGGTGTTGGGTGTGCGCGGCAGAGCTGTCGTGGCCCACACGACTGGTTCTGCCAGCTGCTTTGTTTTACCCGGTGTCTCGAATATTTCATAAAAATGAACAACAGACCACTTGATTCTAATTGGAAATGTGAAAATTTAGACTTTGGGAGAGATAAACCCACGGAACTTACTTTAACCCTTTGGTTTCCACCACTGTTTTGACTCTGCTTTATGTTCAATATTGAAACTAGATCCTGGGCAGCAAAACCAGATGGGCTGGCAGAGGCCTGAGGCCAGGCTGCCCCGCGCTGGCGGCGTCTTGGCTTGGCTTCCGTCTCGTTTCCCCGAGCGTCACTGTTAAGACCAGTCCTCCTTTGGGCTTGGGGCCTGCAGCGGTTTAGTTTATAACCATGACCTGTATTAACTGTTACGTTGCAGGGAACCTGAGACTCCACATGTAGTTATGACTCCAGGTAACGTAAAGCGACTGTTCCGCGAACATGGAGTGTGTGGTTTTTAAACATTGAGTTGATTCTCAATGGGTTGCTTTAAAGCAAAGATACAGATGCGATTTTCTCGGCTGTTTTAGATTAAAAAGTCAAATCTTTAATTTTAATAACAAGCTTTGATGATAGAATGCAGTCATAATTAATTGAATTGCTTGATTGTTTTTATTGAAATAATGAATAATTAGAAGTTGATCTTACCGGCTTATCTTTCTAAACAATACTCTAATTGGTCCTGAACATTTTATTGCTAGGATGTTAGCTTTATTCATTTTAATGGATAGCTTAATCTTTTGAGCCAATAAATATCTATCACTATGTCCTTTTTTTTAATAGGTGTAATAGGTGTATTTTGAAGTGAGAGCCTTTGTTCACAACTCTGCCCTTGGTTACAGGACCCTCGAGTGTCTTTTCCACCAAGTGTGACTGAGCATGGCCCCCGTGCCAGTCTGTTTTCCTCCTCAGTATCCCAGCCACCCCCTCGAGACCCTGCTCGGAGACACTCGCTCGGCCGGGCCGCCTGGCACACGCCGTCCTCAGTCTGAGGCCTTGGCCTGGAGGTCGGCACTGCGGCCCCCATTTCTGCAGTCTACATGTGCTTGCTTGGCTATAGCACGTAGGTTGGGTGTCAGCATGCCCGAAGCCCACTGGGCCTCGCCCTTTGATATTTATCCTGCACATTTTGCAGCTCACCCCGCCAGCACGCAGCAGTGCGGCCCCCAGATGCTGGCGCCTCGCGCGCTCGTCCTGCGCGGCGTTCGCGCAGGCACACGTGGAGCTTGGCAGGGAACAGACTTTTCTGTGAGGGACACCAAGGGGCACAGAATTAACATAAAGTCTTTTTCCAGTTCAGAATGGGCGAGCAGACTGGAGTTTAGGAAACGATACCTCTCTCCCGTGCTGTGCGCAGAGCCAGCCCTTCTCCTGTCAGTATGTGGTCACGCTTGGTGGTGATTAATCACTTGTCCTTCATCCCTACTTTGCCTTTTACACCCGCTACGTAAAGTGGCCGGAGTCTGAGGTTGCTGCCCCTGGGCCCCGGGTGGTGGTGGTGAGGCGGGCGGTCCGTGCAGACTCGGGCCAGTGCGGGCCGCTTGTCCGCTGCCGCCGGCCTCACGTCTAGCGCACACGTGAGTATGTTGACGGCGTTTCTCTTTATGTTCTTCTTTCACATTTTGAGTTTTGGTGCCAAGTTTCCTTTTTCACGTGCGGCCTGTCTCTGGCTCACGTGACCATCACTGCGATCGCCTTAGTTTTACCGTCAGAAAATTAAAGTCCACATGATTAAATGTCAGTTCCGCGGCCAAGCTAAGTGTTTGTGTACTTTAAAGGGTCGGCACCTCCAGAGACACAGCCCGGCCCGTCTCCTCCTCAGCCGAGTCCCCGGCGGGGCTTTCTGTCGGACAGTGTGATGTGGATGGCTTTGCTCCCGCGGCGGCCTGGGCCTCGGTGGGCGAGGGCGGTGCTGGCGCAGAGACGCTTCCTCGGGATGGGACGTTAGTAGGGTCGCGGGAGCCCCTGTAAGCTTGCCGCTGCCCCCAACCCCTGCCCCGCCTTCCCACCAGTGTGGGTAGGTGCGGGCTGCGAGCTTGGGCTGCGGGATTATTTTAGTCCTGAGAAGCCCATCGATGGGAGTTACTTTGCCTCTATTTTCTTGAGAGGTAAAGGGGAGAATGTGTTGGGGCCAGCCAGATAGTAGATGGCTTTGCTTGCTGCCTCTGAGGAGAAATAAAGGGATTTGTGACCGCTGCTCAGCGGATTCCCCAGTCCACTGTCCCCCACACACATGGTGCTGGTGTCCCCCGGTCGTGGCGGAGACTCGGCTGTCCACAGCGGGCAGGGCTGCGCGAGCCACTGCTTCCGGGGAAGCCGATCCCCAGCGGCCGCGGGTGGCCCCTGCCCGGTTTCCATCCCAGGGACCTGGCGAGCGTCGCAGGCCGGCCGAGCCCCGCTGCGCCGCGTGGGCAGGTTCGTGACGCACTCGGACGCGGTCTCCTGGCCCGGCTGGCAACACCGTGGCTGTAACGACGGGCATCTCAAGTGGCATCTTACAGACTTAGGCGTTGTGGGAAAGCTCGCTGCGGAGGCCTTGGTGTGGTTCGCTGTCAGCGGCGCCTGTGACCCACCGGGCTGGAAGCCAGGCTCGCCGGGGTAGCCCCCGGGCCAGCGTGCTGCCCGTGCTGAGTCTGCCTCCTTCCATCCTTGGCCTGCTTGTGTCTGCGAACACGGCCCGGCCCAGCCTGTCAGGGCGGAGGCTGCATTTTCTGTTTCCGGCTGTGGCTCCTCGTGGGCCGCCCGTGATTTTTACCCCAGCTAACCTGTGTCACGGCCGCAGCTTCCCAGCCCTGCCAGGGCAGTGTGCGGGAGCAGAGGAGGGGCTGGCAGTCATCTAGAGTCCTGGACCGGTTTTGTTTGGGATTTTGCTTTTTTTGCATGATGGCTTCAATAATGTGTAGGTTTTAACATTTGCTTATTAACTACTGCATTTATTAATAATGCTTTCAAGTAAAACTGGTGATTTCTAAATCCAAGTACCTTTTCCCCTGCTGAATTGCGTTGGGAGCCTGGTAATATCTCATCACACTCATTGAATGAGGCGCTTTTAAAGTATGCAAACTCCGCTGGGGCCGGCGGTGACCTAAACCGTCCTCAGGAATGTTGAACCTGAAATGAAAACTTGGCACCAAATTTTTTCAGGTAGAGACTTTAAAAAATAGTTTCTTCCTGCTTCCTGTTGTTACCTGAAGAATATACTAAGAAAGTCTTAGTGATTATTTAAGAACTTGGATACCAAAGGGTTAAAAATACACGATTTTACTGAAGAAATTTTAGATGTTTGCTAATGTTTTCTCTGTACAAATGGACATTTAGTAATGTTTTTTCTTTCTTTTTTTTTTTTTTTTTTTTTAATGATTCCATGTATTTGCTTATTTCCATCTAGGACTAGTTACTAATGTATTTGAGATACAGCATACCAAATTTTAAAGTAACCAGAATCGTGAGTTAATGGTTTTTAGTCCATACTGTTAAAACTTTTGTTGAAATCCCAAGATACTAAATTGGCCTCGTGCTGGAGCGACGGAGGTGACTGACAAGGCAGTGTCTCCGAGCGGCAGCTCTCGGTCCAGGTGGCCCCGTGCGAGGGCTGTCGCTCAGTAACCGCTTCTGCACCTCGTGTGTGTCTGTTCACTCCAGATGTTGCCTGCGAGTATGTGATCCCTTATTATTTGAGTTTCCTGTTTTATGAACCATTGCCCGCTTGAAATCACACAGAAGATTCTGAATCTGTAAAAACTACACGTGTCAATGTTTTACAGCTACGTAATTCGAATTGACTTGATTTTTTCAAGTAACCCTAGCAAGGGGAGCATTCCATATAGAAACCGCTGAGACTGCCACAGGTGCCTCTCCGAAACCTTACGGTTGTGGCATTGAATGCTCAGTGTGGCTTCCTTTCTCCGCGAGGCATACTGTTGAGGTATTTGTTGCGGTGATTGGTTTTAATGCTAATCTAGGAATTCAGATATAGATTCTTTAGATTTGCATGCTTTGCTTACCCTAATTTATGATATCTACCTTTGTACTTGTAAACTAACAGTAGTTAAGTCGAGATCAGAATTTTAACAGAAATAGCATTTATATAAGAATTATTGTGGTTCTCGTGATTGTCACATGGCATTAACCAAAAGAAAGCCCCCGGCGGACGACGCAGGTGCTCACGTCCGTCCGTTACCTCCTGATCCGTGGTTTCCCAAATTCAGCTGCCCCCATTGGCGTGGCTTGTGCCGCGCCCTGAGCTGGTGACACTCTAAGTGGACAGATTTGGCGGCTAAGCGGGGCGGGGTGTGAAGGCCTGGGCGGGGCACTCTTACCGGTGATGAACTTCAGCATTTCAGAATTCCACAGCAGGAGATAGAGTAGAAGCCTTTTTGGGATTAAAAAAAAATCAGTCCCCAGTAGAACACGGTGAGGGTCTTCCTATGTTTCCCCTGCAGCTTGCGAGAGCAGTGGGAAGGGCCGGGTGAAGATGCACCCAGCGGACAGATGTCTACCCGGGCCTCCCGTCCATGGTAGACGGCAGCAGAGGGCTGTGCCTACAAGGCACCTGTGTCCGTTTCTTGGGAAGGAAATCAGTTCTGAACCAGAGAGTGGGTCAGACCCAAGCACCAGGGGGATACCTGCCCGGCACTTCAGGCCCTAGGCCCAGGCACGAGCTTCTTGGACACGCGAGTCCACTCACGGCCGTGCCACCCCGGGCCTGTGGCCTTCACTGTGGCCCCGTGTCCAGGCGGCAGTTTGAGGTGGTTTCAGGCTCTTCCAGATGCTGCGTCTCCCGGCGTCCACCTGGTCAGCAGCACGTGGTTTGGGCCTCATGCGGCCAGTTGGGATGTGATGTGATCTCCCAGCCTGCCGTGGCCTGCTCCCCCCGACCTTCAGGCAGGTGACAGGATGGTTCGGGTTTAGAGCTGCATGAGCGGGGCTCCCTGGGGCGGGGGTCTGGGCTCGCGACGGTGCTGAAGCAGGATTGTTGTCCCGAATCCTGAAGCCCCACACTTGAGACAGGCTTGACCCGGGAAGCGGAAGAACCAGAGGGAGCGGCCCCTAGCGATTGCTGCTTGGCGCGAGTAACCCCACAACTAGGCTGTTAAAAAGCACTTTGAGGGGTTCAGTTCCCTCCCTACTCATCAAGCGCGCCAGCCTGCCGGAGCCAGAAACTCCCAGAGTGGGGCTGTGCTGCTTCCAGGCGCTCTCCAGGGCTGTTTAACATTCTGATCAAATTGGCTTTTGAGGTATTTTTCTTGGCTATTTAACCTTTTATGATTTGGCAGCTACATTAGCTTTTTAAATTATCTTTTGTTTGAATTGCCTGGCACAGGAAGGTATTAGAAAGATCTTTTCAGGATTCCTGTTGCGAGAGGACTGGCTGCCCCAGCACCCTCTGCTGGTGTCAGTCAGCAGGCCGGGCCGCTGTGGCCTGTTTGGTGCAGCCCATGAACTAAGACTTTCCCTTGAGGTCTGATCTGGAACGTAAGCAGGGTGGTTCTGGGCACCAGCGTCGCCAGGACACAGCTGCGCGTGGCAGCGAGTGGTCCAGGGCCGCTTCTGAGCTCCCCGGCCGGCGTGAGCAAAGGTGCCTGCGCTGCGGAGAGCCGGACTCTGCCCGGCTGCCTGTCGTGCGTGGCCACGCGCAGCCTTTTCGAATGTTGCGCAGAGCAGAATTGGGGGCTCAGCATTCCCCAGAGGCAAGGGGGAGGGCGGGTGCCCGTGAGCGAGCAGGCGTGGCCGGGAAGCAGAGTCGGTGGCGCAGGCCGGTGGGCTGGCTCTGCCCGCACCTGTCAGGCCGTGGCAGGTGCTGCTTTCTGCCCGAGCGGAGCATGAGTGCCACGGTCCCGACTCTGGGCGACGCCTGCAAGTGGCTCAGGGCAGCCGCCGCCCACTCCTGCTCGTCCTGTAGGGACGGCGCCCCAGTCCCCACCTCCCGGCTCTGCCTGGCCCTGCCGCCTGTCGTGTCTCCAAGAACGTCTCCATCTGCGCTCCGGCAGCTCACGGCTCGGGCGGGGGGCAGTAGATGTTTGGTTGGACAGGGGTGGTGCTTCCTCCCAGCTTGCCCCGCGCGGGGATGGTCATGCACGAGTTGGCCACGACCCTTCCGGGTGGGGGTGACACCCACCAGGCTGCCGTGGGTGTCTGAGCACCAAGGCCTTCCCTGGCCCCCCGGCTGGGCCGGGGCAACACCCACTGCCCTGGTCTCCGGGGTGGTCTGGGGGGCTCTGGCTTCTTGCTTGTCTTTCCTTGGGTTATATTTCGTGTAAAATCAGTGAATGTGCTCTTCAGGGAGGGAGCTGACCACGCCTGGGTGTGCTTCCCGACCCGACGCACCCCTCCCCGCCATGGCCCGTGAGTGCCCCCCAGGGCCTGGGTGCTCATCCCGGCCTCCCTCCTCCAGGCGGTGCGCGCCACCGCCAGCTCTGTTCTCCTTTTAAGCAGCACCTTCTCCTCTGTAGCCTCTGAGCCGGGAGGGCACGTCCATGTCCATCTGCGCACGTGGCTGGCGTGCACGCGCGGCTTCTGCTCGGGGCCTTCGTCCTTCCCAGTCTTGAAGACCTCATAGGACTCTTCTCGTGGTGGCTTATTTTTCTGTTCATGTTCTCGGGAAGGTAGACCTCTTTGGACCATCTCGAGGAAGCGAAGTACAGCGCTTCTCACGGCCTTTCAGGGACGTGCCTACTTGAAAGCCATGGGACATGTCAGTAACATGTCCGTGTCGTGTTAAAAGACACCTGCATGATTAGCGTCATTAGCGCAACCTAAACTTCACCGTTGGCTTGCTATGGAACCCACCCAGCAAAGTAAACGCGCAGCTCCAGGGCAGTCCTAGAGCAGGATTCTGCAGCACAAAGGCAAGTAAAGGTACCGGGTTAAAGCCCAGGCGGCGCACCTGCCAAATTTCTTAAGAAAGCCCTCTTGGTTTCGGGCGTCTTGGGTCTAGTCTCTCTTCTGTCTGACTGGATTGAGTTTGGGGCTTTGCCTCTGACGTGTGGGCCCGTCTCTTCACCTCCTGCCTCAGAGCGGAGGTGCTTCCTTCTGTGGTGGACACTGCGGCTCTGGTGGCGGGAGACACGGGCCCAAGACTTCCCACCTTTCCAGCAAGCGCCCTGCTGCCCTGATTCTGTAGTGTCCACTCTGAAAACCGTCTGCCCTTACCGCAGCCTAGGAGACAGCCGGGCCCTGGCTGGTGGTTTCTGCGACAGCTGCCCCATGGGACCCTTCCACTCCTGGCCTGCATGGCCGTGGACATACCCATCCCGCGGAGCAGCGTGTTTTTCCTGCACTCCGGGAACGCCAGCATGGAACTGCTTCTGTCCCGGTTTCACTTGCTTCCTAGTTGGGGTCCGCAGGCTCCGCTGGGTCTTTTTTTAAAAAAAAATTTATGCATACAAGAGCTGGGGTGTGGGCCAGAGGTGTGTGTGAGGCGTAAGAGGATTCACCAGAGACAGTGGGCAGCAGAACAGGCGGATGCACTGAAACCCACTGCTGAGGGGAGCAGCAGGGAGACAAGAGGTCTGCTGCACCCTGCGGGTCGAACTCAGGTGGCAGTGGCTGCAGACAGCTTTACAGTGCTGGGACTTGACCCCTGCGCCACCGGGGAGGCCCTCAGCTGATTCTGTATGCCCCCTCACTCAGACCTTTTGCTTACATTCTGCCATGCCTCCTGCTTGCGCCTGGTCTGGGCCTCGGGGAGACTGACCTTCACTTGCAGTGCGATTAGCCAGGTGGCATGATGTGCTTCTCGGCGCTGAGCTCTGCGGGGCCGCGCTCCTAGGGCCTGTTGAACCTTCGCAGGAGACGCTCACTCGAGAGGCCAAAGCGTCACGCGCCTGCACGTTTCCCCAAGAAGACCCCAAACTCGGCTGCTCAGCTCGTGGTCTGGTGGAGGTGCTCTCCGCCGGGGCCGCCTCTGAACTCCACTTAGAGTGTCACGCTAGCCTGCAGCCTGGCGGCTTGGTAAGCCCGTCCCGCCCGTCCCCGAAGCCGGTTGCTAAGAATGCCATGGACAATTCCAGTATATGTTCGTTATGATTCTGTTGGAGCTAAAGGGATGGATTTTACAGCTCAGTGCAGAGGGCAGCGCAGCCTCAGGTCCAGTCTGAAGTTGGTGTAAATTCAGGCTCTTCAGACTGGCATGACGATGATTTTGACGAGTTAAATAGGAAAATGCCTTTTTTAAAAGTTTAGAATATTGATTTTTAAATTACTGTGTCCCAAACTTTGCCTAGTAATCCAGTAAATGTGCATAAGAGAGCAGTTAGCTGTAGAGCCAGGCTGAGTTAACTCCTCCTTTAGCGAAGACTTGCTGTAAATCTGTTATCTCTTCCTGTCACCTTCAGATAGTTAGTCAGTGCAGCGGGAGCAGCCAGGGAGCGCCTCCCGGCAGGTAATTCAGTGTCTTTGTGTTGTGCAGCCTGAGAAATGCCAGCGGCCTGACAGCAGCAGACATTGCTCAAACCCAGGGTTTCCGGGACTGTACCCAGTTTCTCTTGAATCTCCAGAATTGTCATCTGAACCGTTTCTATAGCAACGGCACCTTGAATGGGGGCCCTCCGAGTATATTTCCCGATCATGTAAGTGTGGGAACACATCGCAAGAGATGCTTGGAAGACGCGGAACCCTTTGGAGTCAAGAAGGCGAGAACCGAAGGTGAGCCGGCCTCGCGGGTGGCGGGCGGGGCTCCCGGGTAGACGCCTGTGGCCGCTGGAGGTGGGTCCTTCACCCCGGGGGGTGTGCGAGGCTGGGATGCAGCCCCTGCGAGCGTTCGCCTGCTGCAGTCAGGTGTTAGATGTCCCGTGTGGGGCCTGTGGGAGCAGGACTGCTCCCGAGCGTGAGCCCGCGCCTGAGCAGGGCGGTGGCGCTGTCCAAGGTGCTGTCGGCCCCGGCCGCTGTCCCAGGAGACGAGGAGGCGTCCGCGCTCAGGAGGCCAATTTTTGGTCCTTGGGTCTTAAGACTTGTTTTGAGGCCGTAAGTGGCAGCTCTGACCTGGCTGCCACTTCCTCTGGGGCGCCCAGCAGCGCACACGGGATGGCGGAGCTGTCTGCGCCCCCAAGGCCTCTTCACGCGCCGTGGCACCGCCCCAAGCCCAGCTGGGTCAGTGACCTGGTGCGGCAGGCACTGCAGAAGGGTCCAGCCGGGCCCCGGGACGGCTCTGAGGAGGGCATGTCTACACCCACACTCCTTTTTCCTACCATGCCCTGTTTGCCACGGACTTGGTGAAGGCGCCTTGCCGGGAGGGATGGGAGAGCCCGGCCCTCGCCGCTCCAGAGCCCGTGGAGGGCTCAGTTGCCCTGACTGGGAGGCGGGGCCTGGGGTGTCACCCAGCTCTGTGGTGCGCCTGGGGCCTCAGGCCTGTGCAGACCTGCCGTTGCCCCTCAGAATGTGGTTTCTGTGGCGCGGCGGGGTGTCTTCTTGGTGTCAGCAGCTCAAGGAATGGTTGGCGAGGGGGTTGCTCGTCCTGTGTGGGCAACTTGGGCCCCACGTCTCTAGCACAAGTTCGCGCAGTGAGAGCTGCAGCTTGGCACGGGGCCAAGAGTTTATTTGGTGCTGAGAGTGGTGCTTATTTTGCCGGATATCCTGGATCAGGGTGTTACCAGGGGCTCCAGGTGCCAGAGGAGGCGGCCCAGACTCCAGTGGGTACAGTGGCTCATTACCCACTTTAAAGGTTGCAGATTTAGTTGGGGTGCCCTCAGCTGTGGATGATGGAAGGTCTCCTGAGAGTGACTCCTGGGGTCAACTTTTATAAAAATACACCAGTAACACACCCACCCACCCCCGTCCCCGGGAGGCGGCTTTCTGCAGAGAGTATGGCCCTGGGGGACTTCAGGGGGACCATGAGCTTTTCTCTGGATGTGGGGGGGAGGGGGAAGTGTGGGTGGTCACTTGACCTCTCTCGAGCCAGTGTTAAGTCTCCCCGCAGGCGCCCCCGCCAGCACTGACCTTAATTTGAGGGTAGTTTTATGGGTTTTTATGTTACTCAGGAGTCCTTTATGAAGACAGCCAGATGCTGATGGGGGAAGGGACCCCTCCAGCGGGCAGGACCGAGCGTGCAGGCCACGGTCTGCAGCCCCCTGGCATCTGTGGGAATCTAAAGGCGCCTTTGTTTTCCCCACAGCGCCCCGCTCAGCCGGCGCCCTGCCCCCCGCCCCCGGTGCTGCGGACGACGACTCGGACGGCATGGACGGCATGCACGTGGACAGGGAGCTCGCCAGCCTAACAGGTGGGCGCCGGCTGTTCCCCGTTAGCCTCGAGGGCGGTGCCCTGGTCGAAGACACCGCGCGGCAGGAGGGGGGCTCGGTCCGCCCGGCGGAGATAGAGATCTATACGGTGTCGGCCATGCAGACCCCCTGCCGCTGCCAGAACCAGTACGCCTGCTACTTCTGACCGCGCGTTCGTAGACTGTTCACTTGGCGTCCCTGGGCGTTGGCAGAGGGGGCGGAGTGGTGCGTTCCCCGCACTTCAGTGCAGTCTCCCCAGGTTTCATTTGGAGCTTTCGCGTAATACGTGCCTTGCTTAGTTTTAATGAGGTTTGGCATTTTTAATTTTCGGACATGGGAGCTGTGGGGGAACATCTATTGCTAGGAATGTCAAAGCAATAAATGTTGTGGTTCTGAGTTGTAACCAGCCCTCCAGAGTGGGGTGTTAATCGACACTCGGGGGGCTTCGCGCTCTGCGGCGCTCACGCAGTGTAGTTTAGACCGCTGGCCACGCCCAAGGCTACGTCAGCAGCGGACAGTCATATTTTCAGTTTTAAGAGGCAAACCTCAGTTAGCATGAGCGCTTGGGCTTACTGGTGGTCGCTTTCCACCAGCACCTTGGCTCTGCTCTTAACGTTTAAATATATTTACACAGGGGTTACTAATTTTTAAAAAGTTTGTAACTTTATGCTAAATTCTTTCTGGGGGATAAAAGATTCCGTATCTCCTGAACTCCGTTTACTAAAATGAAAGGCAAATGCGTTCATCTTTCTGGAAGCTGCAGAATTGGTATGTTTGGACTCACCTTCTGCCAAGTAATGAAACAGGTAGACGCTCCAAGGGGGATTCTGATTGGCTGAGCCATTTAAAGACCCCGGCAGAGAAAGACTAAACTCAAAGCCAGTGTTTTAAAACCACACGTTGCTACGTGGTTTTCAAAAGGCAGAAATAATCACGCTTTATTCTTCGAACATTAATCCCCTGGGTTTTCATATTTAAAGTCCATCTTATCCCATATTTTCCGTCATTATAACATTGACTAAACACCAGATTGCTGGCAGCACCCTGGAGGGGCAGGCCGCGGCGGCTGCGGCTCTCCTGCTGCTGCACCCCGTCGCCCTGTGGCCTGCTGGCCTGGCCCGGCCCTGCAGGGGGGCCGTGTGCCCCCGCGATGACAGAGGCATCTGAGTCAACCAGATTTCTGATCAGTGTTGATTTTTTAGGCCTAACCACCTGAAAATATGACTTCCTTGTCTGTCGTGGTCGCCATGACACCCAGCTGCCAGGATGGCCACGCTCGCGGGTCGCTCCGCCCAGGGAAATTGTTCATTCTTAAAACACACATAAAAATATCCTGAGTCTAATTTATATTTATTTTATTTTTGGTTTTTGAAATACTTGTTCTTTAGCCTTGAGTTTTAATTTGAAGGGGGTAAACCATTACCCTGAGTTTATAGCAGCCGCTGAACACGGACAATCCCTGTCACTGCCAGGAGGCTGACGACAGATGGGATGTCTAGAAGACGTTTCTGCTCGCTGGAGCAGCGTGGGTTGGTGGGCAGGAGAGCCGCGGGTGGCCGAGCCCGGGGCGGGTGCCGTGGCGGAGGGAGGCTGGCGTGGCCGGCACCCCGACCGTGTTCGGAGGACCGTCGTGCAGAGGCGCCTTTAGAGCGTGCTCTGCGCCCTGCTCCGAATTCTGCGAACGTGACGCCTCTGTGTTGGGCTCCAGCACATTGGGCAGCCTGGAGTGCTTTTTCCTGTAGGATAGCCGCCTCTGGTGCCACCCACATGTGCAGATTAGACGGTCGACATTTTTCAAGCCAAGTGGTTTTGGCAAGCAGCGGCCGCAAGCGGGCCCTGGTCGGCACGGTGTTCCTCCCGCGCCCGGAGGAGGCGTCGCGCCCGCTGCCGCCCGCCGGGGTCCTGTGTCCTGTTCCTCTTGACAATCTCGCCCTCCGCCGAGTGCCTGGAGCCGGCCCTGGCCTGGGAGGGCAGCTTCTCAGAAGCAGCGTCTGATGCTGGCGCCGCCGGCCAGAGGAGCCGCCTCGTCCACCTGCTGCGCCGCCGCCCTTGTCCTTGAGGGCTGGCGACTCGGCCCGTAGCCTCTGCGGGCAGCCGGCGTTCAGTTCTGACGGACCTTTCCGGGTGCTGCTGCAGCTGCTCTCCGAACGTAGTCTTAACAGGAAAGCAGCTCTTTGCCGCCTTTCAGAGCTGTTGGTATTTTTCACGCAGCCAGTTTTACGCGTGGCTGCCCCGGGCTCCTGGGACTCACACGTTTCCTCTTTCCAGGCCAGGCTGCTGTCTGTCTTTCACAGCTGCCGACACAGCTCTTTACTTTGTGAAAGGAACTGGTTCGTTTGAAAGAAAGCTAACAAGGTGTGGTAGCAGTGAAGCGTTTTGCAGTTTCTCCTCCCTCTGGTTCGGGATTTTGGTGACAGGTGTATTTCTTAATGCAGATGTGACAGACAGTAGCTCCGCGGCGAGTCCACTGACAAACGGATGTCCCATCAGTGGACACGTGGCCTGCCCCTCCACGACCCAGCCCGGTGGGATGGCGAGCAGGAGCGCCCCGTGCCCAGCGGGGCCTGGCGCCGGCAGCGGTGGGCTGGCCCCGGGCCGGCCGACGGTCAACGGCCAGGGCCCGCTCTGTGCGGTCGGGGGCGAGGAGCCGGACAGGGCGCCGGGCGTCAACCCCGAGATGTGCGGCTCGCTGCACCTCAACGGCAGCCCCAGCAGCTGCGTGGCCAGCAGGCCCTCCTGGGCGGAGGACGCCGGGGAGCACCTGCACTACGGTCACTACCACGGCTTTGGGGACACGGCCGAGAGCATCCCTGAGCTGAGCAGCGTCCTGGAGCACTCGCGCTCCGTGAAGGTGGAGGAGCGCTACGCCAGCGCCGTCCTGGGCACCATGCACCTCTACCACGGCTCCTGAGGCTGCCCGCCCAGGCGCACCTGGGCCTCAGCGCCCGACTTTCACAAGGCGGCCCTGGCGCCAGGGTCCTGCCCCCGCAGGGCTTGTCGCCTCCGGGCCTCGTGCCCCCACCACCGCGCACCAGTCCTGACGTCCCTTCAGAGCGGTCCCGTGCGTCGCCGCCCGCCCCTGCCTGGTCACTGCCGGGGTGGGGCCGGCGCGGGGCTCTTTCTCAACGCCCGGCGGTGAGGCTTTGCCCGGGACACCGGGGCCAGGCCCAAGGGGCTCCTTAGCCGGCACAGCCTCGGTTTCGGGAACAGCTTAGCCTGGGGCCTGCCTGGCCCTAGTCCCAGTGCCACCGCCCTCCTGACCGTCACCGCGGCAGTTGCTGTCTGTAGGACCGTCACGTCCAAATACCGGACTCTTTGGACTTCTGTTTCCTTAGTCCTTCCTTTTTGGGGTTTCCTGCTTTACAGCATATACCACTTAGGACTCTCCAGTTAGCCGAGGGCGCTTGGACTCTTCCTAAAGCCGCGTTGAGCTCGTGGTTTTCTAGAACCCGGCTTTGTAGGCGACGGGTGGCTCCACTGTGCGGGTGTTGTGATGACTTTTTACTTTTCTGACTTTTGTAATAAAAATTGGTGTAGAGAAACGTCAGGTGACAAACAGTGCTCTCCAGGTGTCGCTCGTCCTGTTTCTAAACTCTCCTTTACACGTTGAATAAAAAGCTCACAGGCTGCCGGCTCTGGGGTGTGCTTTCTTGGGGGTGCGGCAGGGGCTCACCTGGGGTGCGGCAGGCGGGGTACGGGCGGGGTTGTCGGTGCTAACCCCGCGGGTTTTCTCTGCTGCTCCCCCACCTTCGGCTTGGCGCCTGTGCGCGGGCGGGTGGTGCCAGGCGCGCGCTCCCCGCGGCCCCCTGGGGCGGGCAGCGAGCGGGCGGGGCTCCAGGCAGCAGAGGTTGAGGATTCTCAGCCCTTTAAAGACTCTCAGTGGTAGTGATGGAAGAACCCCCGGTGGCCAGCACGCGGGCGCCAGGGCTGCCCTTGCACTGTGAGGCGAGGCCCGCCGGGCACTGGGCACGGCGCGCATGCTGTCACCCTGTGGGCGGCGGCAAGACACGCTGCTCTGCACGTGCTCCCTGTGCTCCGAGCAGGGCCCACTCGGGGCTCCCCTGCGCACAGGGTTTTGGGTCCCGACCCTTCAGCTTTGGTTTTCAGCTGTCTAAGCTCATGTGGGGCCAGGCTGGGGAGAGAGGGTGCCCCTGTGGAAGACACGGCGAGAGCTACAACGGTCCCCGGCAGCCCAGGGAAGCTGGCCTGGACCAGAGTCTGCGCTTCCATGAGGACCGCAGGGCCCTGCCTGCAGCAGGTGTCCTCCAGGCAGGGCCAGGCCGCGGCACCCACGGTCCGGACACCAGAACTGCCACCCGGGGAGGCTCTTCTCCAACACTGCGCCCATCGAGAGCAGAGACGGGCGGGGGCCAGGGCGACGGCTTTGTCTCCACCTGCCGGCCTGAGCGCAGCACAGACGCACCTGTCAGCCGCCTGGACTGGCCCACGGGTGATGAGGGGGCACCGGGACAGGCAGAGCCCCGCTGCGCGATGCCCAGTCCCTGGAGGAGCACGAGACCACCCTGAGGGCTGCAGGCCGGGACCAGGCACAGGCGGGGGGAGCCATGAATTTGGGGGTGTTCAGGCTTTCTTATGCCTTGACCATGTGTATCAAACAGAACTGTGTTCTCCCCGAGTTCTCCGGACCCCAGGCTCATTTCTGTGAGGTGCCATATCCATTGCCTTTAAGGGACTGAAAGCGACAGGTGTCACCAGAAGCTGGCTGCCATGCACCCCAGCACAGGGGAGATGGGGGCGGCACCTCAGTGGGCAAACTGCTGCAGAAATTGAGGTGAAGGGCCAGAGCGGAGTCCAGTGGGGGTGCAGGAACACGGGGCAGACGGGGTTCAGGCCTCCTGCCCCCTGGAGCGCCATCAGAACCCCGCTTGCATCAGAAGTGACTCGCAAGTGTCCTCTGGTGGCACAGCCACTCCCAGCCCTGCCGCATTCAGAGGCCACCCCTCGCTGGCCCCAGGACGTGGGCCTCCTGCGCTGTAAGGACGCGCAGGCGTGGCCCAGGGCCTGCTCTCGCTCAGACCCCAGCCCTGGGCCCAGGTGCACCCAGGTTCCCGCTCCTGTGGGAAGGGTGGCCCTGGGGCTGGGCCTGCGCCTTCAAGTCCAGCTGTCCAGGGCGGAGGGCCGAGGCCCCTGCTCCCAGCTTTTCTGCGGGAAAATGCCTAGCTGACCATGAATAATGACTCCGGAAGGTCCCAGAGCTACACAGATCTAGGGCTGTCCGGTTCTCGCAACGCGGGTGGGTGGGGTGGGTGGGAGCACAGCAGGGCGGGCGGGAGGCCGGTGCCACGTGGAGTTGGGGTGCGCATTGGGTGGCGCAGCAGGGAGGGCAGGCTGGGGAGCAGGCAGGAGAGGTCGCGAGGTTAGGCAGCTTCCAGAGGTCTGAAGGGAACACGGACTGGGGCCAGAAAGGATCACGTGGCAGTGGGTGAGGGGCAACACAGGCGGGGGTGTGCTTCGAGGGGGGGCACAGTGGGGGAAGGAACTGCCTCCTTCATTTCTAGGACAAAAGTGTAATTCCACTTCCATGAATTACAGGGTTATGGATAATTTAAACTTTCTAAGTTCATTTGGAAAATCTACACCGAGATTTTCAGTGTTTTTTTGTTTTAAGATTTATTTATACAAGCACTGGGTACAGTCAGAAACGCGGGAGGGTGAGAGAATTCACCAGAGCCAGAACGGGGAGCAGAGCAGGCAGAAGGACCGAAGGACACTGCTGAGGGGAGCAGCGGGCGGCAGGAGGGGTCTGCGCGCCATGCGGGACCCTCCTCTGGTGGCCGGGGAGCAGCCGGGGATCGAACCGGTGCCGCGGAGGCTGCGGGCAGCTTCACAGCCCAGCGCTCAACCGCTGCACCACCGGGGAGGCCCTTCAATGTTTTCTTAAAGACAGCTAGCAAAGTAACAAAAGATTACCTTTTTTAAAAAAAAAAAAAATCCTGGCGGGCACAGCAATCTACAGACAGACCACGTGCCCACACCGCTGCTCCAGGGCACACGCAGAGTGCGGGTGTCCAGGGCTGCCGGGCAAAGCTGGGGCCCCGGGCCTCTTAACCAGCCCCGCTCCACAGTGTGAGCTGTAGTCACAAAGGACTTCATCCTCACGTGTGGGCACAAAATGAGACAGCCCTGGTGCATTCCCGTTCCGGTGGCCCCAAAACCTCAATTCTGCAGACGCTTGATAGCAGAACTCTGGCTTGCCTGTGCGCACAGGCACCTGGCGGGAGTCGGCAGGAGTCTTCTCTGGACAAAATGTCACATGGGATGCCACATCCTAGTGCTGCTGGACACAGGATGTTACTAGGCCCAGAGAGTCTGGTAACTGTGTGCCTGGCACGTTGGCAGAGCTGCCCGGGCCTGCATGGAGACAAGGCAACGGGGACCAACAAAAATAAGAATAGACAAAGCCCACAGAAACTCTGCAGTTAAATAACTTCCTGCATTCAAGATGATAGAAGACAGGGCTTAAATCATAACCAGAAAATCAAAGTATAGGGCCTCCCCAGCGGGGCAGCGGGTTGAGCCCAGCGCTCTGAAGCGGTCCGCGGCCTCTGCAGCGGCAGTTTGATCCCGGCCGGCCGGCGAGGGTCCCCCATGGCGCGGCAGACCTCTCCTGCCGCCCGCTGCTCCCCTCAGCAGTGGACTTCATCAGTCTGCCTGTTCTGCTCCCCGCTCTGTCTCTGGTGAATCCTCTCAACCCCCCTACCACTCCCCCCCACACACACACATCTCTGGTCCACACCCAGCTCTTGTATGCATAAATAAATAAATCTTTTAAAGAAATAACCCTTTAGGCAACAAAAACAAGGAAAAAGTTAATAGAATTAGAAATGAGAGCAGAGAAACCATTGCAGATACCGTAGAATCACAAAGGGTCAAGGGAGATGACTGTGAACAGCCACATGCCCACACACTGGACAGTCTTGAAGAAGTGGATACATTTTTAGAACAACAGTTTAACCAGGGAAGAAACAAAACTTGAACAAACAGTAATCAAACCTCCCAAACACAAAAGCCCAAACCACATGGCTTTTCCCGTGGATTTCATCAAATCTTTAAAGAACTTACGTACGTTTTTCTCAGCATATTCCCAAAAGCCCAAGAGGAGAGGATCCTTCTAATCCATTCTGCGGTGCCACCGTTACCCAGACGAGGCCGTCACACAACACTACAGACCAGCATCGCTGATAAACACGCAAACATTCTGAACAAAATCCTAACCAGTTGGGTTCAACGCCGCAATGCAGGGACCAGCCGCGGCAGCGGGTGGGTCTACTCAGAGGTGCCGGGGTGGCTGGACGGACACACTGGAGCCCAGCGTCTCAGTGGGCGGGCCAGTGGGGCAGCAGATGCAGAGAGAGCGGTTGACAGGAAGCGACCATCGCAGCAGAGTGGCGGGAGCTCGGGGGGGTGTCCAGAGAGAAGTAAAGCAGAGAGAGAGCCAGGCGGGCCGAGGTCACCCAGGAGTAACGAGAGGGAACGAGGCAGAGGAACTGACGAAGCAAAATAACTAGCGGACACTGAGGCTCGGGGGAGGGAGCAGGGGCAAAGGGCATGAGGGGTGGTTGTGGGGAACCAGCAGTGACCGCGGGGTGGACACGGCGGGACTGGGCAGGGCGCGTCTGGCAGCACGACTGCGCGCGGGCCCTCGAGGTGCCGTGCAGAGATGTTGCCGCCTGAGCCGTGAGAGCAGGTGCAAGGCAAAGCACGTTTGGGCCCAGGAAAAAGGTGAGATGAATTAAAATGTGTGGATAAAATGATGGATAAAAATTAACCCAGCCAAGCCAGCTGGTGGGTCAACGGGAAAAGGTGATTGTATTTCTGTGTATGACCAACAAACAATTTTTAAAGATGCTATTTTTTTTAAAGATTGATTTATTTATACAAGAATCAGGGTACAGGCCAGAGGCGCGGGAGGGTGAGAGGATTCACCAGAGACAGAGTGGGGAGCAGAACAGGCACTGATGAAACACACTGCTGAGGGGAGCAGCGGGGAGACAGGAGAGGTCCGATGTGCCCTGTGGGCTGCTCCCTGGCCGGCCGGGATCGAACCCACGCTCCAGAGGCTGCGGACAGCTTCACAATGCGGCGCTCAACCACCTCCGCCACCAGGGAGGCCCTGAAGATGCTATTTTTAATAGCTTCAAAAACATGCAATAAACCCACCAAAAGGTACAAGGCCTCTCTAGACTAAAAGCTACACCCTTCGTGAAGGTAAATGAAAGACTTAAATGCGTGGGGAGCTGTGACATATATATGATTAGAGGAATCTAATCCAACAGGGTCATAATCCACAACTTCAATATTGAAATAAAACACTCAATTCTCCCCAAAATTGATTTAAAAAAAAATCAGTGCCCTCCTTATCAAAAGCACAGCATGTCTCTAGCTTTGTAGAGATGGAGGAACTGATTCTGAAACTAGTTTAAAAGTGCAGGGTTACAACACTAATGATAAAGGACTGATCACAAAAATCTGCAAAGAGCTGATGAGACTCAACAACAAAGAAAATAACCCAGTGAAAAAACGGGCAGAAGAGCTAAAAAGAAACTTCTCTGAAGAGGAAATGCGAATGGCCAACAGGCATATGAAAAAATGTTCAACATCACTTGTCATCAGGGAAATGCAAATCAAAACT